CCCTGGGCAGCCCCTTGGGGTAAGTGGACACCTATTTGCTGTTCCTGCAATAGTTGGATTCCAGCATATGGCAGGGTGTGCCGGGAATTGGGGTAAGTTTCCTAGAGCTTCATGCTGTCACTCTTCCAGGGACAGGCTCTGATTAAGCATGGGGAGGTGACGTTGTCGTCCTGTGGCACTGCTGTCTGTGGCTGGAGGAGCTGCTGTTCTTCAACCAGGCCTTGGTGTTTCCTGGAAGCCTGGCATCGCCTCGTGTGCAGGGCCAGCCCCTGCCGCCTCCCTTCTTGGCTCCAAGAGCACGGCGTGACCTGACTCCCAGTGGGGCGTGCCAGGTGATTAATGAGTTTTCTCCTCCAAGTGGAGCTAAGGCTTGGCATGGCTTTATGTCCCCAGTGAATATTTAGGGGAGCAGCGGCCTGGCTTTTCAGGCCTGTTTGTGCCAGCAAGCCCAGGGCCAGCCTGGCAAAAGCGCCTGCCCCTGCGTGGCACCAGGCTGGCCGTTCTGGTTGCTTTGGCATCCCCGTGTCGGAAGTTTGGAGAATGTGTTGTGCCTGGTGCATAGGAGGCAAGCTTCCCCTCTCTCCCCCACCCCCAAATTCTCCTTTATTAAGACTTGAGTCTTTCCAAAGTCTCATATTACACAGCGCTCTCTCACTCTCTCAGCTGCATGCTTTATTTTCAATAACAAAGTACAGCTTGAGAGCGCCTTAGCCTGAAACAACCTTAGTCATTACTAAATTGGAGTGCTGCTAGAAGTCATGTGACAGCATTCCTAAAAATAAAAGGAGGCAAAGAAACGTAACAGATTTAGTCATTATTCCTGGGGTTTTGACCTCATAAGTGTGGAATATTGACATATAAGTGAGTCTTTAAAGATTACTAATAAAAGGAAGATAGTAAGTGGCTACAAATCTATGATTATAGGCTGATGAAAAAACCAACTGCCTTAATGATATGAACATGGGTTCTTGTGGGTTGGGATACCGTTTCCAGTGACAACATCCAACATAAATTCACAAGGAGCTGTATCCAGCATGTTAAATGGATGACTAGGACAATGTGCTCTGGAAAACTGCTTGGGTGACTCGACTCCAGGGTTGATAAACGCATTCATGTTGAGGAAGCCCATGAAGAGTTCAGAAAGAAATCATTTTGCAAGCTGGCTGTTGGAAAAGTATTTTATGATAAATGGGATTATTAAATGTTAAAATATATAAAAATTAGTAAAAGTTATAAATAGTGATTTGACTTTCTAATGTATTTCCTTAAAAATTATATAGTTAAGTTGGTGCAAACCGTGGTTTTGGATCTTCTCATTGGCCAGTTGCCTTCAATATGGGAGTCATCATATAGTCCTGGGTTTCTAGGTTATATACAGGGCTTCCTATAGCCCCTGAGGTGGGGGATTTGACAGAGTGGAGGAACAGAGAGAGGGTGGCATTATCTCAGCCCCTCTCCCTCTCTTTCTCTCTCTTTCCATCACTCTCGCTTCTCTGAACCTTCTGGACACCAGACCCTGGGCCGGACTGGGCGCCTCAGAGTGTGCCAGATGCTGACCCTGCCCTCGGGAGGTCTTTGGTTTGCAAATGTGGTTTAGACATTGGGAGGCCTGGGTGTTTTGACTGACACTTGCAGTGTCTGCGGTTTGCTTCTTGCTGCATAAAGTGTGTTCCATGGGACATATTAATTTATCTCCAAGTAGATTTATTGTATGAAATATTCATTGAAGCAGGCTTTACCGTACAGCATTTAGAACAATGTACTGAGTACGGTTTGTCCTCATAAATCTATTAATGCTGATGGGATGTATTTTGTCTCCTATGAAGCTTTGGGGGGAGATGGGGGCTCACGTAGGAGAAGAAGCTGGCTGTTGAAATCTCTTTATCTCCCTTAGCTTGGCTGTGGCAGACCCTGCTCTGACTCTGTGTGTGTGTGTTTATGTGTGTGTGTGCGCGTGCGCGCGCACACTTGGTTATACATATCAATGTTCTCTCTTCCTTTTTATTGGATGCAGAGGCTTCCATTTCTGAGCTAGCTATTTTGTCAGCTTCCAGCTTCTTGTCAGATTCCAGTTTCCAGCAGTGGTTTGGAGGTGTAATGAGACTCAGAGGGAAAAGCTGGCTCAGGAGTGAAGACTGATCTGTGAGGAGCGGGGACTCGGTACTGAGGAGAGAGGTGGGGGCAGGATGCTGACACTCAGGACTAAGTGCAGCGTGGCAAACCCCGAGCTAGGTGCTTTACCTGCTTGCCCCAGGTAATCCTAACAGCCACCATAGGAAGTAGGTGTTACCACTCCTGTATTTGAGGCTCAGAGAGGTTTAGTAACTGGCCCAAAGTGCAGTTCATTTAGTTCAGCAAACCTATTCTGATGGGCTGTCAGGGGCCCAGGGGCTGGGCACAAGGCACAGGGCAGTCACAGCCCCAGGGCTCAAGGAGTGTCCCATCCAGCAGATATAGAAACAGATAGATGTAGAGGGGCCAGATAGGGAAGTGGTGCCTCCCCCTGTGTGATGCAGGGTGCACAGGAGGGCGTGATGAATCGTGGGAGGTCGTGTGAAGGCTGGAGTGGGTGTCCAAGCAAAGTTGGAAGACTGGATAGGAGTTTACCAGGCAGGTGGGGGCTGGGAGGCAGGGGTGGGGCTGGGAGAGGGGGTTCCAGATGGTGCAAGGAGCAGACATAAGTATACAAGCACATACAGGACACCAAGGTGCGGTGGGCAGGGTGGGGACTGCTGGGTTCAGCTCTGCTCAGTCCCCAGAGGAGGGAGGGCCAGAAAGGTAGCCAGAGCCAGTAGGGCTGGACCTCCTAAGCCTCGCTGGGGAATTTGCACTATAACCGAGGGCAGTGCAGAACCATCAGAGGTTCTGAAACCAAGGAGAGAGAGAGAGAAATGCATTTGTATATTTAGATTACTTGAGAGGTACTACAGAGGCTGGTTTGGAGGAGGGTAAGGCAGGAGGTGGGGAAACCTGTCAGGGTTTCTGATGCCCATGCAGCCAGGAAGTCACAGGGATGGGGTGAGGGCAGCCATGGGGCATGGGGTGGGAGGTGAAGGATGGTCTGTGTGTTGGGAAACTGCAGAGCTGGGCCGGATTCCCCATCTCAGGTTGAGAGGCCACAAAAAAGAAAAAGTCAAAGTAAGAGGAAAAAACAGTCAGAAAAAGGGTAAAGGAAAAGAGTACATTAGAAGAAAAATGCACCATCAAGAAATTTATAAAAGACTTTTCTAAAGAGGTAAAAGAAAGATTTAAAGGGTTACAGTTAGGGAATGATGAGGACTAATGCAATATAAAAGGTTTTCTAAGTTTAATAGTGTTTTAGAAACTTAAGTAGAGCTAAGGACAAGCAGAAGTTAAATGAGTTCAGGTAAAAACAGGTTTCTGGCCAAAAGCAGAACCTAAAGTAGGGAAAAGCAGACAGGGCGGTTTACCAGCAAGGCAGGGCTGTGAGAGGTGATTCTTCTAACCGGCTGACGGAGGCTCTGGGAGTGCATGCTAGGCAGGTGACACCATGAGACCTGGGCCGGGAAGGAACCTGCGCAGAGGAAATGACAAAATGGAGCCTACCTGCTTGAGAACTTCTTGGGCACCACCCACACCTGTCTTTTCTCTTTCTGCTGGGGCCACTGACAGCAAGAAACCAGTTGGGGGAATTACGTGGCTTCTCCTTTTGCCGTTGGTGCCTGTTCAGGTAGGTTTTGGCTCTGGAGTCGGCACGGTGGTGGCTCAGCAGCATGTGGCAGCCTTGCAGGCTTGTCCTGTTCTGTGGCCACCAGGAAAGAGGGAGGTGGAAGGAGTCTTCAGCAGATCTCTTGTGAGGGTTGAAGAAGGTCAAGGAACATTCTGGCTTGGGCTGTATTGATTGCGTGCCTCCTGTGTGCAGTGGAGAGTTCTAGATGTGGTGGGGTACACGGAGTGGCAGGAAAAACTTACAAAAGGGATATGAGCAGAACGCATGGTAATTTGGTATCTGGAATGAAGCTGAGGCTACGCGTGGGATGGATGCAAATATGGACTAACGCCGAACAAGGAAACCGACTCATTAGTGTCCTATTAGTACTCTTGTCTACTCTAATCACTCTGCCTTCCTCCTCCGTCGGTCGCTGGTAAGGAAAGAGGATGCATGTATAGTTGGTAGATCATGGGGCTTGTACTTTGGAGATGAGGTTCAAGTTCTGGCTCTGCTACTTATTAGCTCGATGACCTTAGGCAAGTGTGACCTCTGTGAGTATCTGCTTTCTTGTTTGTAATTTGGAGCTATAACAGTGATGCCTGCCTCTCTGAAGTCCCGGGTTTTCATGGGGATCAGTGTGTGTATGTGTGAGTGTTTCATCAACTTCAGAGCTCTGTTCGGCAGCTGGTGACATCTCTAGACTCTAAGTATTTTGAGGAAGGTGGTGCCTCGTTATTCCTTATACCTCTCACAGCACCTCCAAAGTGCCTGGGACACACACAAAATGCTGGTTGAGTTGATGGATGAGTTTACTGTGCCATTAGGCATTTTCCAGGGACCATCTCACTTTTCACACTGTTGGACGAGGGACGTGCAGCCCCTGACTGCCCTACATATGAAACGTGTGTAGTGGCTACCAGGAGCGGCGATGCTGGGGCCAGTGCCAGCCACTTGGTCATGCTGAGGGTCCTCATTTCAGGACCAGACAGCTTCACCTGGTTTCCAGTCACTGAGCACAAAGCTGCCTTCAGGATGGCCCAACTCGAAGTTCAGAAGCCGAAAGCAGACTGGGGGCTGCTCCACTCGCTCTAACTCCTCTTCCCACTACATGCCCCCACGTGCGTGCCTGCACACCCTTCACACTTTGTCTCCCCGTCCCCACAGGCAGCCTCTGCTGACTCCCCGTTGTTCCCTGTTTCCTTAACTCTCACTTGGGGACTTTTGAGAGGCACTGTCTGTCTCCCCTCCGTGGGCCCATGTGTGTGCTGGGTGTCTGGATCCCGTTTGCTCACCGCTGCGGTTTCCTTTTCCTTGCGCTCTGTTGTAGGTCGTCTTTCACGATGTTGCCGTGCTGACGGACAAGCTCTTCCCCATCGTGGAGGCCATGCAGAAGCACTTCAGTGCCGGCTCAGGGACCTACTACAGTGACTCCATCTTCTTCCTCTCGGTGGCCATGCACCAGATCATGCCCAAAGGTAACCTGGATGCCAGGGGCAGCAGCCCCTGCTATTTGGTGTTTGCCTCTGCTGCCCTGGCTGCACAGTCCTGCCGGTGCCCTGGGTCAGAAGAGCTCCACGGAAACACAAAGGAGAGGGCGAGGGGGCCAGCCACGCCCTTTGTGTAACAGGGCTTCCTGCACAGAGCATCAAGGGCAGGGCCCTGGGTTGCACAGCCCCGGGGGCCCATTCATGAGGACACAGTGTGTGGTGCAGTGTGGGCTCCAGCCCCCTCTGGGACTCACTTTGCTCATTTGATGAATGGCAGGTAGGACTAGATGACCCTCCCTCTACATCTGTTAGTCTGTTCTTTTCAGTTTGAACCTGTACTTATCCAACTTTAAAATATCAAATCTAGATGTGAGAGGTACAAATTGTGACTCAGTAGGACTTTTTTTTGAAACTCTAATCCACCATCAATGGATTTTCTGGGCTTTGGTCCCTCACGGGTAGAAGAGATGTGATTGTCTGCTGTGATAGGTCTTGTCATCCTTGGACTAGAAGCCTTGTGTGTGGGGATCTCTTTCATGGGGTGTCCCAAGCATCTGGATTTTTTTCTTCCAAATGTCCCTTGATGGATTCTGGAGCCCTGGATAGTGTCCAATTTCTGGCCATGGTGAACCATGACCTGAGCCTTTTAGGGGGTGATAAAGAGAATTTTGGGGTCTTGGGGTAGCAGCTTTCCGAGCTGTAACTGATTGAGTTTCTAACAGTTTGCAGACCAGACAACCCAACAGCCAGGCCATGTGGTGGAGGCCTGCTCCTCCGGCCCAGCAGACCAGCAGTGGAAGGGGTGTGAAGAGCACCACCATTTGAGGGGGCCTGGTAAGCCAGGAATTCAGGAGTTGGAGGTTGATACACGGTTCCTTTGGCAGGTTGTCATTCCATGGGAACATCTAGCTCATCCATTTTAGCTGGGGCTTTGTCTCCACAAGGCAAGTTCCTGCAGCATGGAGGCCCTGCATATTCTCTTAGCTGTAAGGCAAGGGCTCAGGGAGCTTCACTGAGAGGGAATCAGAGAAAGGAAATGAGCTCAGCAAAAAGGCACAGGGAAAAGAATCGGATTCTTCACAGAAACTAGGTGCAGCTCTGTGAGCTCTCCGAGTCCCTCCACCAGACCTGTGAGGTTAGATGAGTGAGACCAAGGACTTGAGTGACTTGCCCAGGGTTCTACAGCAATTTAAGGGGCAGAGCTGGGATTTGAACCCCGGTCTGGCTGATATGGAGACCTACTTCTCCAAATAGCAGTTATTTCCACCCTCTCAGGTGGGCCATATGGGAACTCTGGTCAGGCCTGGTGCAGGGCCTGTGGGCCACTCAGGCTAGAGGAAGGTATGGTTCTTGCTCTTCTGGATTCTGGGGTTGGGGGGCCGGGGGTGAGAGACAGTATAGTTGCTGGTCCTAGCTCTGCCACTAAGCACTTGTGTGTCTGTAGACCTCAGTTTCCTAACCTGTGTATGAGGAGGCTGATTTAGTGAACTGTTTCGGCTTGCACTGGAAGAGTTCAGGGTCACAGGAATCCCTTGTGGGGTTCTATAGTTTGGGGAGCCGAGGGGAGAGGGGCTCTACTCTTACCCTACCTCTCCTGCCCTCACCCCCACTCCTAGCAGTCTATCTTGATTGCTGTATAGATCAGGCTGTGGAGCAGAATTCTATTTGGTCAAAGGGTTCCATGATTAAACTAGTTTGAAACGTCTTGACCAGATGGGCGTTCAGGGCCTGACCAGCGCTGTTGTCCTGCATGTGTGACTGGCCTCGAATGAAACGCGAGGGCAGAAGAACCGACAAGGGACAGCAGGAGATCTGAGAGGAGGAGGCATGCCTGGCCCTCCATTCCCCCCCCTGCCTCTTCAGCAGTTAGCTCTCTGCCATCATGTACTAAACTCTAGGCCAGGTTATGCTTTGGGGCACCAGAGGGAGGGGAAATAGACAATTCTCCTTTGGGGATTGTCAGGGTAGAGAAATACTTGTGCCCAGGGAGGGCCCGGCGGTGAATTGTTACGTGCAGATGACAGAAGTTAGGGAGCCTCAGGCTGCTGCCCTTCTACCCCTGACATTGCCCTGCCCGGTAGTCTGGCCTTGTCCAGGGGGCGATGTCTGCAGAGACAAGGCTTTGGTAGCTCTGCTGTGGATGCACTAGGTCAGATCACTGGTGTTCCTCCACGTGCGGTCCAGGCCTCTGAGGGGCCTGTGTCAGGAGGTGGGGAAGGAGGTGTGCAGGGGGCAGCCCCAAACACCGAGCCTGTTCTTGGGTTCTTCAGGGAAATGATAATGTGCTGCCAGAGATTCATTTCCACATCTGCCCAAAGTCAGCTTCCTAAGAAGAGAGATATTAGGAGTTACTAAAATCTGATAGTCATAAAATGAAACGAGCAGCCCTAGCGCTCCCGCGGAGGCTGGGGCGCTTCTGCTGAGCATTTTGGCTGCTGCACAGCGCTTGGCCACGCGTGAAGCTCCTTCTGGGCACATCCTTTGGAATTCCTGCAGTTTTCGGAAGGATGCTTGGTTTTCAGGCACCGTTAGTGCTGTCTTGCGTTTGTCATGGCTCTTTATTGCTGCCTTTTTTGTATTCTCTTTTTTTTCTTTTAATCATAGAAATTGCTGTTGTTGGGGATTTGTTGAAGATTTTGTTCTTGTGTGTTTGGTGTATTCTTGCTATTTTGTTTATTTTGTTTGACATTGTTCTTTTTTCTCTGGTAAAGTGAGAACGGAGCATGGGTGGGTGATAAGCCCCTGGTTCCGTCCAGGAAGGCTGGGTCAGGAAAGCTGTGTTCCTCTGAGTTATGTCTCAGAAGGTCCCGTCTGGTGTTTGCCTCAGAAATCCAGGTTATTTCTCTGTGTCCAAGCCTCTCCTCCCCCCAACACCCTGCCCCTTAGCATAAGGATCACCCTTATGTATTTAAGCTACTTTTGAAATATATTTACTTCTTTTTTTTCTATTTTAAAAGTAACACTCATTCACAAAGAGAACATCTGACAACATTAAAATAGAAAAAAGCTATCCTTTTACTACTACATAAGCATCATCACTCTTGATTCTTGATTACCTTATATTTTCCCAACATGTAGCTTTTTAATAATTTAGCCAAAGTAGGAGCTAAACTATGTATTTCAATTATTCTGAGTGTTTTTTACATATCAAAGTATGAAATTGAACCTCCATTTAAACAAACCAAAAAAATGAAAGGAATGGTACAAGCAAAGCTATATTATGAAAATTTCAGTTAATGTTACTTATCACCATTTTCTGGGTAGTCACAGTGTTTGAAAATTTTTTTGAATGGTTCCATTGAGTAGATGAACCCTTAGTTCACTTTATCATTTCCCTGTTCTCGGCTACCTAGATGCTTTCTATTTTTCTATGATCGTAAATTGTACTGTGATGAATATCTACATACAAAGAGATTATTTTCTCTAATTAGGGTTATTTCCTTATGATAGCTCCCCACGGGTGGAATTACTGGGCCAGAGGTGACCCTTACAAAACCTGTGTTAATTTCCCCCTATTGTAGTGTTGTCAGTCAGTACAATTGAGGTCTGTACAGTTTTCTAAGCCCATTGATGTCTGACCTCTTGGGAGGACCTCAGGCAGCCACATACGAGCATCAGGACAGTTGCTGTCCCCACTTGCCAGGAGAGGAAGGGAGGAACTGCGGTCTGGCCATTTCACCAAGTTTTAGAATAAGCTGGGTCCCCCACCCGGGTTTCTGATGCCTTGGCCGGGACCTGAATGCCTGGGCTCTCACACCTACACAGCTCCCTGAAGCTTACAAAACCTGGCCTCCTCTCTCTTCTGCTCGGCCCCTCGCTGCAGCTCTGCAGAGGGGGCCAGACTGGGTTGGGTGGGGGGTAGATAACCTCATGTGTTTTGCCCAGAGCGTCCTGGAGCAGCGCTGCCCAGACCACATTTGCAGAGTGAGGAATGCAGGGGCCCTGCAGGCAGAACACGCTGGCTCTGATTTTGATTAGAGCTTGTTTTTTTTTCCATTGCTTGTTGGATTGGTCATGTGTGGCTGACTGGCAGGTCCTGCCACTGACACTCGCCTGCCTATGTGTCCTTCACAAACATGCTGGCACTCTCAGCTCCTCACTCACATGCCCTCAGGGCTTTTCTCCTCCTGTCGGCGGTGTCAGGTTTGTCACCGTTGGAAGCATCTTCAGCAACAGAAAACATTTTTGCCCAACTGGAGCTGGAGGGAGTGAAGAGCAGCTCCTCAGGAACTGCCAGCTTCCTTGTCCTGTGTCACATGGCTCCTAGGAGTTATTGGCTCCGGCTTCGTGACATGGGCCATAAAAACAACCCTTACCAAGGCTGAGCCATGATGCCTGGTGTACGAGTATGATTGTGGTGGTGTTCTCCCTGGGTAGGGAAGGCAGGGGCCTGGACGATTGGCAGTGTGTAAGGCTGGCCAGAGGCCCCGGGAGACTTTCCTGTAAGGATCTCTTGTTCTGTAACCAACCCTTTCTAATAGACATCCTCTGCCAGGGGTCTGGTGTTTGCATGACATGGAGCTGGCCATTTTGGCTGCCTTAGAGATGTTTGCCGGTCGCTGCTTCATGGGCTCGTGGCGGTAGGGTAGGTGGCATGGTCCAGCCAGTAGGCAGGATGAAGGCCACAGGGAGATCCACACAGTGCCGAGGGTTTCAGAAGACGACGAGTCACAGGCATTTGGAAAGGGGAGGGGCTTCAGGGAAGAGGTGGTCCTCGAGCTTTGAAGGATAGGTCCAGTTTCCTTGTGTGGAAGCAGGTAGGGAGCGGTCCAGGCAGCTCGGAAGCGGTGTGTGTGTTTGGGAAACAGCACATCACGTTTGACAGACACGGTCGGGCACATTGGGAAGCAGTGGGAGAAAAGATGGATGAGAGAGGTTGGCATGCTCTGTGGAAGCTTGGATGCCAGGCTGAGGGCTGGCCCAGGACACAGGAGACAAGGCCTTTGTGAGCATGTTGACAGGGAGGAACCGGGCCAGATCCATGCTTT